TAGAATAGATACTGTTTTTGGCAACAATATTGCAAAATTCATCCCTCTCAATTGAACTGTTGGATCATCCTCAAATTCGCTTGGCAAGTTCCTCTCTTGTGATACTTCAATACGATCACTTAGATTTTTGAGTTAATTCCTCTAGTGTTAGATATACATATCAAAAGATGGTTGTCCACATTAAAATAAAAACAACAACTTTCCTTCAAAGTCCCACATTGGAAAACACTCATTCCCTCCTCCTCCCTTCCCTCTGTATAAAGACCCCTCCTTACAATCACCTATTCACACTTGGAGATAACTAAAAATAATAACACAAGAAAAAAGACTTTTTCAAGAGTTAAAACAACACTTGGGCTTAGGATTAAAACTAAGCTATTGTCATAGTATTTTTTTTAGTTACTAGTTTTTTATTTTTCCATTTTTAGGAAAATTGGAGTGGCTCTTTACAACTTGGCTCCATACACCAAGTTTCGTCACCTTTTGAGGTAAGTCTCCTTACATTCTCTCTTAGTTAATAATTTTTTGTTTTTGCATGCTTTTATATTCTTTATTTGTTTTATTATGAGTTGTCTTATGTTAGTTTTTTAAAATTAGATGTTGTTATTTCTTGTTCATGTATTCTTTTTATGCTTAATTGTTAGTTACTAGTTGGCATTTATTTTTTTTTAAATATATTTTATCTTTAACTATGTAGTTAGCTTTTTTATTGAAAATGAATCCATGCAACGATTCATAACATTGATTATATGGCTCGCCATCCTCAAGTGTTATGCTCTTCGTAAGAGTTCCCGTATAGCCATGCTATCTTGGATTCTGTGCAAGGTGGATTCCTTTTCCAAAAATTTCTAAATTAAATGTATTTTTTTATCTTGTTTTCAATCTACGCAAGGATTCACAACGTTAATTGTATGACTCATCATCCTCAAGTATTGCGCATTTCGTAAGGGTACATGTGTAGCTATGTTATCTTTTTTTTTTTTTTTTGGTACATATGTAGCTATGTTATCTTATATCTTATGCAATGCGGATTCTTTTTAAACAAAATTAATTTTTTCCAAGATTTCAACAAATCAAAATTATTTGTCTAATTAAAAATATTTTCAAAATCCAAGTAGCAATTTACAACATTGATTGTATGATTTATCATTCTCAAGTGTTGTAAGCTTCGTAAGAGTTTACGTATAGCTACGCTATCTTAAATTTTAAGCAATGATGGATTCATTTTCAAAATAATTAATAATTTTTCTCAAAGTTATTTTCAAAAATTAAAATTAACCAACACAAACATTTTCTAAGAACGACGTAGCTTTGAGTTCCTCAATACAGCGAAGGATACGTCGGAGTGAAATTTCCCGTCGAACTCAAAATAAAACTTTTATAATTTTATTTTATTTTATTGTAAATATTTTATTATTCATCGTGCTTTATTTGTGTTAAGAAAATATTCTAAAATTATTAAAAGTTTGTACAACTAATTAAGGTAACCATTTTTTAAATGGATGTATCAGAGGTACAGTGAGATTAAGTTTTCACCCTTCCATGTACATAATCAAACTTCCGAACCTTGATTCAAAGATCAATTTGCTAAAATAAAAGATTTTTTTTCCAATTTTTTCTGAATTAAATAAAATTGGTGGCTTCTCCATTATTTTAAAAAATAAATTTCAGGTCGTTACACGCAGCATGCAAGGTCACATTTTGAGTTGGATCAGGTTGCCAAAGTATTTGTTCTTCTAGTTAAGGATCCACTTATTCCGTATCTCCAACCATCAGTAATATCTTTTCTTTAACACTTGTGACGTGCAAGTCCATTTCTTGTCACAATTTAGCAAAAGCAAAGCTCCCTTAATTTTTGTAGCTCTGCATGAGTTAGCTTCTTAATTGACGGCACTGTTGGTGCAGGTAGGGCTAGTACCACTATTGGTTATGGAAGTTGAGCTACTTGCATGGAATTAAGAAGAAGTCTGCACATCACTTATAGGGCGGCGCATTGCAAATGACAAATTAGCTCATCATGATGAGCCTCATATGCTACAGCTAGTCGCATGGCTTAGTGAAGAGAAGTAGGGTTGTGGAATTGAATAGCATGCCTCGGGTCCGCTTGTAATCCGAATATAATTAAAGAAACTAGCAAGGAGTACTTCATCTGAAAACTTTGTTACCTGATTTGTCAGGGCTTCAAAGTTACGGAGGTAATCATTTAGTGAGCCAGTTTGAGATAGCTTTGAAAGCACTCTTTTGAGATCCATATATGCTTCTACACAAAATCTCTGACGCAAGGCAAGCTTAAGGTTATTCCATGATTTATGTGACCCTCCATTATAAAGCCATTGATACCACGGAGAGGTTGCACCTTCCATTTTCAATCCCGCCATTTGAACCTTATACTTCTCAGGAACGTTTTATATATAGTCCAGAGAACATTTTTGTTTTAAAGATCCAGCCATTTGGATCTGTTCCATCAAATCAAAAGCTAGAAATTCCATACGTACAAACTTGAAAAACAAACGTGGATCATTATGATCTACTTATGCATCCCAATGAGCATTATTTTGAGATTAATGTTCAGCATCTAAATGATGCTGATGACAACGTTGTGCGCTTGAATCATGAGCTCGATTCTCTAATCCCAACATCGCTACATGGATGTGTTAAAGCTGAATCATAAGGTTTACGATATGAGCTTGATTTTCTTATAAATGTTGCTCCATACGCAATTGATTTTTATCTAGATGTTGTTCCATGCGTTGTTGAAAGGTTCCAAATTCCTCTACAAGATCTTGAACACGCATGGTGGCAATTCTTGGAGAGAAATGGATGAAAACACCAATTAATAGAGCACTACTTTTATTGACAAGGGGAGATTTCCTCCTTGATTTTCTCAAATAAAAGAGATAAGATTGGAGTGTTAACAGAGAGAGATTTCCTCCTTGATTACTGTTGAGTTGTATATATTTAATAGTATTTGTAACTAACCTGATTTTGATTTTGGTAGAAATTATAGGAATTAATTGTTATGAGATATCAATTTTTGTTTCCTGATTTGTGGCTTAATTGAAGCCCAAAATTCGTGTATATTATTATCTCTGTACAAAAAGGAAGAAATATACAGATGAATTAACAGTCTACATGTTCCATTTTTCTACATGGTATCAAAGCCATAACCTGATGGCCGACCATTCTTCTTCTACGCAGCCAGAGCAGGGCAACCCTGCAACCATCGAAACACCCTCTTCCATACAACCTTTAATCCATGTACCCTTGAATCCCATTATCGTACAGCAAGAGCATTTTGCTTTTCCCACTGCAAATGTGGCTCACCCAGGTGGGTCGCGTAAAGTTAATGCATTATCTGCCACCTCTATGAATAATGTTGGATTATTGATACAGGGGCATCCGACCACATGACTAGTGATAAAAAAAATTTACAATATGTTCATCCTTCACCTCAGTCAGTTATATCTACTACTAGTGGAAGTACTTCTCGGATCACAGGTGAAGGGCCAATAGTGTTATCTGACTCCTTAACGCTTGCTACTATTTTAGTTGTCCCTAATTTATCATATAACCGCTTATCTATTAGTCAAATTGCTCAATCTCTTCATTGTACTGTGACTTTTTGGCCTTCCTTTTGTGCGTTTTAGGACATTCTGACCCGGAAGACTCTTGGTTATGGTGTTAAACGGGACAATCTTTACTACTTGAACTTGACCACGGATGGTGGCAGACAATTCTCACCTGCACTTCAGACCCATCGAAGCACTAGTGACCGAGCACATATTTGATTATGGCACCGACACCTTGAACATCTTTCTTTTGGTTATCTTAAAAAGATTTATCCCAAGTTGTTTTCTCAAATTGATGTTAATGAATTTCGTTGTGATGTTTGTGAACCGGCTAAAAGCCACGTATTTCTTATTTACCCAGTTTAACAAAATGTTTGGAACCTTTTCTTGTAATTCACTTTGATATTTGGGGGCTTGCAAAATTCCCATTTTTTTCTAAGGCCCGTTATTTTATTACCTTCATTAATGAATGTACTCGATTTACATAGGTATCTTTGCTCCGCAAGAAAAGTGATGCATGTGTTGCCTTTAAAGACTTCCATTCAATGGTCCAAACTCAATACAACAGATGATTCGTGTTTGGAAGTCTGACAATCCCTCAGAATTTATGGAGGCATCATTTGATTCTTTCCTTCGCCAGCTTGGCATTCGTCACCACACCTCCTACATGTACACCCCAGAGCAAAATGGACTTGTAGAAAAAAAAATTGCCAACTCATGGAGGTGGTTCCGCGCCTTTCTTTTCGACAACAACATGTCGCAATTGTATTGAGGAGAAGCACTTAAATTTGCTGCCTAGCTTATTAATTGGAAGCAGATGGAAGCATCGATAGGTACAAGGCAAGACTAGTGGCAAAAAGGTATACAGAAAAATATAGAGTTGATTATCAGGAGACTTTCGCTCCAGTAGAAAAACTCAATACCATTCGTATACTCATATTAATTGCAACTAATCGAGATTGTCCCTTACGATAGTTTGATGTAAAAAATGTCTTCCTAAATGGTGACTTGGAAGAAGATGTGTATATGAAAATTCCTCTAAGGGTCAAACAAGGTCCCGCTCACAAAGGAAAAAAATGTAAGTTGAAGAAATCACCACATGGGTTGAAACAATCACTCTGAGATTGGTTCAGCAGGTTCACTGAGGCTATGAAGTCAGTTGGGTACAAGCAAAGTAATTCTGATCATACTTTATTCATCAAACACAAGGACATGAAAGTGACAGCCTTGATTGTATATGTAGATGACATGATCCTAACAGGAAATGACTCAGAAGAAATGGAGAATTTGAAACGATATCTGGCAACCAAGTTTGAAATGAAAGATCTGGAACATTTGCGCTACTTCCTTGGCATCGAAGTGTCATGATCCAAGCAGGGAATTTCACTCTCTCAACTGAAGTATGTGTTAGACTTGTTAGTAGAAACCAGCATGTTAGACTGCAAACCGGTTGAAACTCCAATGGAGATGAACCATCAGCTTAGAATGTCCACCAGAGAACGTATGTGTGATAAAGGTCAATACCCGCGGCTAGTAGGAAAATCGATCTATCTCACTCACACCATACCAGATATTGCATATGCAGTAAGTGTAGTTAGCAAATTTATGCATGCTCTAGATGAGAAACACATGAATGCAATTTACAGAATCCCGAGGTATCTAAAGATAGCACTAGGCAGAAGGCTGTTATACACAAAAAATGGAGCCCCTACCATAGAAAGATATCGCGACGTAGATTGGGCAGGAGATCAATCAACAAGAAAATCCACCTCTGGATACCTGAGGTTTGTAAAAGGAAATCTGGTTACTTGCAAAAGTAAAAAGCAGAAAGTTGTTGCTCGATCCAGTGCAGAGGCAAAATTTCGAGGAATGGCACAAGACTTATGTGAATTACTGTGGATAAAGAAAGTCTTGGAAGAGCTAGGAATTGAATGCAGAGAATCCATGAACTTATTTTGTGATAACAAAGCTGCTATACAGATTGCTCAAAATTCGATTAAACATGATCACACTAAACATGTGGAAATAGATTGACATTTCATCAACGAAAAGCTGGACCATCGGATAATTCAATTCTCAATCGTAAGTCTAAAGACCAGCTTGCTGACATACTCACTAAGGCAGTCTCTGGAGGAAACTTTCATACGATGATTGGCAAGTTGTGCATGATAGACATATATGATCCAACTTGAGGGAAAGTGTTCACAAGGAGAGATTTCCTCAAATAAAAGAGGCAAGATTGGAGTGTTGAGAGAGAGAGAGAGAGATATGTCCTCCTTGATTACTGTTGAGCTGTATACATTTAATAGTATTTGTAACCAATCTGATTTTGATTTTAGTAGAAATTATAGGAATTGATTGAAAATAGAATTGATTGAAGGAGATATCAATTCCCTGATTTTGGGTTAATTTTTGTTTCTTAATTTGTGGCTTGATTGAAGCTCAAAATTAGTGTATATAAATTACCTTTGTACAAAGGAAGAAAATGGTAAATTGATTGGAATATTAAAAAAAAAAACTTTGTAAACAATCATATTGTCATATGAATAATAGAATTAATTTCTTTTTCTCAGTCTCTTCTTATTTCGTAAGTCTTTACAAAGCTTATATACACTTCCAACTGCTGAGCTAAGTTACTATAACCTACTAACAAAACTCCTATTTACTCAAAACTACTGTACAACACCTCATTACACATTATTAAACATTATACACGTGCTATTCCACGTCATATACTAAGCTTCATAATCCAAGGCCCAGCTTGGGGCACTAGCTATTCTCTTAGGCCCCTTCTCAATGGTGTCAGCATGCCAATGTACAGTTTCTGCATGTGATGTGCAATAAAATAAAGAAACTAAATTATTCGGAATTTTATATTCACGGGATACAATACATTAAAATTTTAGATTTATGTTTTAGGGAGAAAATAAAATTTTATAAAATCAAGTTAATCAACTGCAAATCTTAAAATTTTATTTATTTATTTTACATAAAAACTTAAATGTTTTTATTTGTTGGTTTAATGACAAGTCTAATTCTAAAAAGAAAAGAAAAAAATTGTGCCATGCAGGATAACCAACAATGTAATGCGAGATAAAAACTTCCTTTCCGTTGTTAATTTTTTCTTTTCTCAAGAGTCCAACTAAATTAATTTGATAAATTATTCAATATTATAATAAGAGTAAATACTTCAATTTATCCTAAGAAATATAGAATTTCTCATAAGTCTTTAAAATATATTTGTTATCAATAAAATTACTATTCAAGTAAATAGTGTCAAGTGTTGGGATTGAAACAATGCACACACTAATTATGAAAATTATTTGTCAAATTTTATGGTGAAATCATCACTCTATGATCATGTATAAATCATATTGGATTATCAAGGAAGTGTATGCACAAAACTCATTCATGAATCAATTCTAAACTTTCATATAATCTATGCAACAATAAAGATTGCAAAACCCAAAACTTTTAATAATATATTCTTAAAGATTTAATATTTAGAGTAAACACCATTTTTAGTCCCTGGCAATATCTACGAATTCTTTTTCAGTCCCTGGCAATAAAAAAGGACTAAATTGGTCCTGAAAGTATAAGGAAAGGGCCACTCTACATATTTGGGAGTTGACATAAGGACTAACATGGCCCTTTTTTTGTAATTTCAGGGACCAATTTGGTCCTTTTTTATTGCCAGGGACTAAAAAGGACTTCGTAGATATTGACAGGGACTAAAAAGGGTATTTACTCTAATTTATCAAATACCCAAATCCAAAAACCTAATGATTATGTTCTTTATCAAATTCACAAATCAAAATTTGCAAATGATTCATTTTTTAAACAAATTATAAATCCAAAATCTCTAATGATTTAATATAATCAAGGCTCTAATAGCAATTATTGGGAATTTAAAGCACACGCACTGACGGAAATTGTCATTCAAATTCCATGGCGAAAAGCATCAACCTATAATCATGTATACATCATATTGGACCATGAATGAAGATAAATGGAGGGAAACATAACTGTCTCTAGACATCGATTTGTGTTCTTTGTGCTCCTTTGAAATTGGGATTCTTGGTCTTTCCAAATCACATATTCTAAATTGAAAATCTCTCTATACGAGAGAAAAATGAAGTTATTTATTTAACATATTAAGACCATAACCCTAACCCGATTTCTTTATTATTGGATATATTGGCTCTCATTATATCTTATCTGGATAAAATACAATAGGCCTACAAAAGGGTTCAAACCCAAAGATTAAAAGCCCAAATACACAAGGCCCGAACAATGCGCGATATCCACATCGCGCATCAGGGAGCGCGATGGCTTCATCGCGCCTAAACTGTCTTTAAACATGACTTCAGAGTTAAGAAATAGGTCAAAAAGCCACGAGTAAGAAGCCACCGCGCCACAGAACCAATACATAAAGGGCAGCTCCAGCTTGCCACCATTCTACCCAGATAGCTTGACATAATAAAGATAAGGCCAGAAAGGCACCAACTGAACCTGCAGACCATAAACAGCCAATCAAAAGGCATCCCGCCTACTCAAGGAAGTATCAAATTTACTATATAAACAAAGGGTACATACACAGGTATAACAATCTAATTCAGTAAGAATACCACGAGCCTGACTTTGATACTGACTTGAGCGTCGGAGTGTCATTGCAGGTACCCACCCCAGTCAGGCACATCACGCCAAAGGAGAATCATATTCATCTCACTACAAACAGCCATCAACAGTCCAAGAAGCAGATAATCCAACCCAAAGTCTTCTCTCATCAACTGTGTGTGATTGAGCCAGATACATATTGGCTAGCCCATATTGTATTGGTCTGATCATTGGCGCCGTCTGTGGGGATAAACTTATATATTAGATAGTGACATAAGATACTTTTAAATAAATACTTCAAGAAATGAAAAGTTAGTTCCAGGATATTAAGCATACAAAATCAATTATGTCAAATCTTCATGGGACAACCCATATACAAACAAATTCGCAAAACATAAAGGAAAAACTTCAAACTGTCTGGATTGACATATCTTGAGGCCATTCTTCCGTTTCCCTATGATCTTCATCCACATTTTCTGGCGCGATCAGGTGGGGAGGCGTTTCTGTGTCCATCGCGCGAACCAAATCCGCTAACTCTTCCTCGTTATTATCATTTAGTTTCATCAATTGTGCATCTTTCACGAAATACAGATAATGAACATTATCCAACTTTGCAGTTGAATTGAAGAGACGAACTTGGTTCAGAACATTGACATAAGTCCCCTCAACCTCCTTCTCAAAGTAATCTTGATACTTTTTCTCTTCATTGTTTAAATGAATCTTTTCTCCACACTAGCCTCAAGATCCATGACTTGCTTGGATAGATTGGCCTTCTCTATCTTCAATTCTTTATGGCTCGCTTTCAATTCCTTCATCTCCTGCGCCATCTTGGCTCTATCATCCTTAACCTTCTTCTTCTTTTCTTCCAAGTCAGCACGCATACTGGTCTTCTCACCTTCAAGCTCCAGAATGCGTTCTTTCAAGTAAGCCACCATTCCTGCCATAAAAGGAAACAATATTACGCTTAGGGACAACACTTTAAAACACAAGTTAGGAACAGTGCCAAGCTCAAGGTACGCTCTTTCAAAATACCTGGTATTGACATAAGGTGTTGATTGGCGACATTCAGCTTCGCCGAAGCTCCCAGCCAAGAACTCATTGAAGCCTTTTCAATCTGGGGACCAACCTCTCTGCCTTTCGCAAACAGGTCTACATCTACCCCCCAACCACTCCCAAAATAGGTTGATTCTTGAAAGATTACATTTGTATCCGATGACTTTCTATTTTGTCCCATAGGGGACTGCACTGCTTCTTTATTTTTAGGCGACGGAATCTTGGTCGTCGCCACTGGCCCAGGAGATTTTAAGTGCGCAACACCTTGGCTAGTTTCAACACCAGCCGGTGCAGCTTCTGATGATAGCACAACCATTCCAGAAGAGCTGGCATCACCGACCCTTGCCAATGCCACAGCTTCTAACTTTTTCAGTTTGGCAGACATCGAACTATCTGAAAACATAAAGATAAGATCGCACATTAGAAGTATGGTGTGTATATATATATATATATATATATATATATATATATATAGAGAGAGAGAGAGAGAAAATCACAAATATAATCAAAACATCTACCACAGCAAAAATTGAAATGATGAAAAGTTGTTTACCCAAAAAAACTCTAATATCTTCATCGGTATATTCATTCAAAGTGGTATATGTACTTAGATAACTTGAATCAGATACTTCTCGCGCAATGTTACATAAAGTAGTAACTTTGTGCTGCTCATAATCATTCAAATCTTCAAAGCATATGTTCAATTTATGCTCTTCTGAAGGATGATGTGTCCAGTACAGAGGGAAGATAGGAGTATTGTCTTCTTCTCCTAAGAAAAATGGATGGTAACCTTTCGCGGAGTAAATTTTGAAGTATTTTGGGGACCATTTATGAATCTTCCTTATATAGGAGTCACAGAATTTGTGCTTGGAATTTTCCCTAAAAGAAACCCAGCTGGAATGCGGCCCAAATACACTAAACAGACACAAGAAAGATTCTGGAGATTGAAATAGATTATAAGCTTTACAAACCATCTCGTATACCCTAATAAAACCCCATGCGTTTGGGGATAATTGTGCAGCAGCCACATTAATATGAGCTAGCAATTTACAAACAAATGACGAAAAAAGAAGATTCACTGCTATCGTCAAAAAGAAATAAGCATACATCATTAGGAAGTGTCTGGAAGAATAATCATCGCGCGATGAGCACACTCGTTCATTCAAGGGAACTACAGATAACTCCCAGTTATCATCTTGTGATTTGTTTGGGGTAAGATGGATTGTGGCCTTCAATTCTTCCAGTTCCCCCGGTGAGCTATATACAGAAATAGTGTCTAATACAATGTCGGACACCCAATCCAAAGTTTCGACATCTCGAATGTTATCAGCACTCGATCCAGTGGCCTCATGATCATGCTTTTA